ATATATATATATATATATATATATATAAAATACAACACATTCATTTTATTTTGATATTTCTATTACAACACTATAGGAAAATCATAAAATCTAATAAACAATAATTTTCATTGTCTTAATTAATATTATTGTTGAGCTACAAATTCCACAAATATCTATTAAGTTGTTTAATTAAAAAAAATGTATGAAGGGTAGAGAAGATGACGGTTAAGAATGTTGGCATAATAAATATACTCACATGCCAAAATATTATTTACAAATTGTAATATATATTAGATTAGTTATGAATATCTTTTAATAAATAAAATATCATAGTTATAAAGATTAACATTAAAAATTTATTACCATTATATTTTATCATTAAAAAAGAAAATTATTTCTAATCTAAAATATAAATTTTTTAAATATATTTATTTAGGAATGAACATACATATCACTGAAAACTTTCTCATTTATGTATTTTCTATTTTGGGAAATCTTTTATGTATAATATTTCATAAAACCAACATTTTTGTTTCGTTGGTGTAAATTATGTTATAAAAATATAATTTTATTTCATTAATTTTGATATATCATCAAAAAATCATCTTGATCGGGCACGAATCTCGAGGCAAAATAAAGCCAAAAACTTCACAAATTAAATCCATGATCACCTGAACTCCAATTTCAACAAACTTATATTCAAACTGGGCGTCTCGGAAATGCGAACCCAACGACACCCAATTCGACTCAATCCAAGCCGAAATGAGTCCAAATCAAGGATCCGAAGAGTTGTTGGAAAGTTCGAACCACAATTTGAGTTACCAAACATTTTCCAAACATGACGTGCTTATAGTCAAATCAAGAGGCTCGACGAGTCAAATCCAACGAGCCAAGATTCCCGAATTCTGACATCATTAAGACTTTCAAATGTCTGTCAAATTGTACACGATCAAGGGATTCAATATCGGCCGTTCATATAACCAGTCCCCATTTACCCATGATTTCTCACCTATTTATAGGACATTTCACTCCATAAATCTATAAATAGACCCATGATTTTTCTTGAAAATATACTCAATCAAGAAGAAGAAGAGAAGAAGGATAAGAGAAGAAAAGAAGAATATGAGGGAAGAAACTCCTCGATCACTGCTCGGAATTATGCCCGACTTCCACAGGACGCCGGAATTCTACCAGATTTTTACGGGACGCCAGATTTCTGGCCGACTTCCACGGGACGCTGAAATTCTGCCCAAGTAATGTTGGAGTTCCGCCGGACTTTCCAGTGACACCGAAACTCTGCCCAAGTGACACCAGAATTCTGTATGATCTCCAAGTGACTTTGAGATTCAATTCGAATACCCAACATCGATGAAACTCAAATTATTGTTTGTAATCGAACTTCAATTCGGGAGTAAATTATTGTAATCTGATCGTCCTAAATTTTAAGGATGAGTCAGCTTCTTGTACCTCAAACAAATACAAGTTGAACTCTTTTAACTGGGCGTGGCCTTGTGCATGGTTTTCCTTCTTCCAGAGGTTTCCATGTAAAAATCCTAGTATTTTTATTTCTCTCATGTTTGTGTGTTGGATATCTGTACAACGCTGAGACGAAAATTTTCTAACTATATCGTTGCGTATATTCTAGCCCGCAACAAATTTTAAATTTAAAATTAAATTATCTTATTTGAATCACTTTTTAAAATTTTGTACCATTTGAAATTAATATTGAATTTTAATTACATCGAACGGGATGAAATAATTATCTTAAAATATATTTTTTAACATTAAACAATCAAATGTGAAATGACACCACACCTTTAAGGAATCTCTTTCTTGAAGTAAGTGGGCCACCCACCGCTGCTTGTTCGGGTGATGAAGAGTCGACTGGGCAAAGCCCAGGTCCTTGGTTTGAATCCCTTGGCAAGCAGTGAAAGCCTTAAGGTTTGCCCGTGTAAATTGATGTGGGTTGCATGCTAGGTCGACTAGGATTTTCGCTGGTCTAAGAGCAGTGTTTCCTCGTCACAATAAAAAAAAGGGGCCCACAATCTACTTATATTCATTGTTTGTAATTCTACGAAATATAATCTTTATAAAGTTCAATATAATATAAATTTTTTATAAATATTTTCAATTCATATTTATGAGGATTCGTTGCTATTACTTTTTGTTAAAAAATGCTTATATAATCTAAATAATGAGTTGTACACAGTATATATACATTATGTAAAAAATAAGACTACACAGTATATACACATTATGTATACTTTCTCACAATTCGGATGCAACTCTACATCCGAACTCTACACGTAATAATTTTTCATATTTGTGAAGCTCTTAGAATTTTTTTTGGAAATAAGCTCTTATTTTCATAATTACAAATGTGTGATATTAAAAAAAAAAGAATATTTTAAATTGCTTAAATATAATTATAATACCTATAACAAGTTAACTACTTTCAACTTTTTATTTCATAACTTCATAACTAATTTAAGTGCATAAAAATTCTTATGCGAGCTTAATTAAATTTGTTTGGAAGAGCATTTTGATAATTTTTGTGATAAAAATAATATTTATATGACAAATAATTGTTTCATCATTTTTAAAAATTTTGCCTTTAAATATTATTTTTGAAGCAGCATTTTTTAAAACTATGACTTAGAATAAAATTTTTAAAATAAAATTAAAAAAATTAAAATGCCCCGAAAGAATACTTTAAATTGATATTTTTATATCTATTTTTTTTTTGGGAAAATATATCTAAAAAATTCAATAATAACTTTAAATAATATCACGATATCCGTCAATAAAATAATATCTTAAAATTTTTTTTGCGCTAATTAAATTTTTCTTCTCTTATCTGTACTAAGTAGCAAACAAAAAATAAATATTAATATATAATAAGAAATAAATCTTGAATGTGCTAATTTTTCTAAAAAAGAAAAATACTAAAACAAAATAACCAGTCCAAAATTATTTAAAAAAGATCCAAATAACAACAAATACAGAAACTTCGCGAGCTCCAAACCAGTTCAATAAACCCTCGCATTAATCGGTTGAACAATCCGGTTCATGCGAACCGATCGCGGGCCAAGCAACCCAGCACCATCTCGGACCGGGTTCACAGCCCCCAGCCTCGCCAAACCCATAACACGATCCGGCTCGACCGCAAAAACTGACGCCCCAGTCCTTCGCTGCACATCCGGTCCGAACCGCACAAGTTGGGGGGCCACCACACAAACCGCTTTTTCGGACCGGCAGCTGAGCAAACCGCCTACACTTAAGCCCTTCTTTCCTTCGCCGGCAAACGGCTCGAACGGGTGCTCGCCGAATTCTGAGACGGCGCTTGAAAAGTTTGCAATGCTTGCACGGTCGAAACCCTCTGCCGTCGTCACACTCCACGACACGCTCACCTCACTGGGCGGGTAGCACTCCTCTTCTATGCTTCGCTGGAGCGGCAAATTCCCGGCAATCTTCTTCGGTTCGAACGCCAGCGAAGGAAGCTCGTCGATGGAGTAACTCCGGCGGCTAGTTATCTGAGTTGAAAGACTCTCTATTTCAAAAAGATCCGAACTTGCATCGCTAGCGAGGTCATCGTCGACAGGCGACCGCAGCTTGGGACTCCCCGGGATGTTAAAACTCCGGCGATCAGAATTTTTTTGAAAATCCGTAGATTTTCTCAGCACAGGAGATGACGTTCCGTCGATGGGCGGTTGAAAGACTTCTAGTGAATCTCTTGCGGGGTCTTCCACGGCTTCCTTCTTGGGTGAAGCAAGAATGGGGAAGGAGAACCCGCCAGAGTTCACAGTCCGGCGAGAGATTTCCGGAGAGAATCGAAATGCATCGTTTTCTTTTGGCGAGATTCCAGGGAAAACCTTCACCTTTGTGGCCTTCTCCACTTCTTGCTCTGCTTTGATCAAGTTCTGATTTTTAGCAGTGGATTCGAAGCTAGACCGAACGGGGCTTTTGGGGTCTGAGTAGCTCTCCTCAACGTCGACGGACTTCTTGCCTGCACAAGGACAGCTCCGGCGGAAAAGCCGTCGGCCGGGCGAAGCAGAGCCTTTCCTCTGTTCTGCAACAGGGAAGCCTTTAACGGTGACGGAAAGCGAGCCTGGTGGGTTTTTCAGAAGACCTGCTTGGCTATTCCAGCTGGCTTCCGACGAGGCAGTGGGCGTCGTGTGAAAAGAGCGGCTTCTGGAATTTCGGCTGAAACCGTCGAGTGAGCTTTTAGGAGAAAGGTCGCGCCTTTCGGCGATTGGAGTGAGCTTTTTAGATGTTTCGTTGGAATCTTGCCCTTCGTTAAAATAACGCTCGGCGTTGAAGATACTGAGCTCAGAGTCATCAGCAGTGTGGCGGAGGCGATCGCCGGCAGCGGTGTTTGGTCGCTGGGGTTGAAGGTAAGGGGAGATGGGGGGGTCTTGGAGGTGGGGTTTTGGGGGAAGGGAGATTTGAGAAGTGGGATTGAGGAAAAGATTGGGTTTTTGAGGAGCAGTGGCAGCTCCATTGAAGTTCGGGTTCAGTCTGTAGCGCTCCATCGATTCTAACTCTTGTTTTCGCGCTGTTTCAGATTTTCTTCTCTGCTTCAGAAACCAGACCAGCTTGTGTGTTGAGAAGTGCTCAGGGTTGGCAGCAGGTCTCACTGGTATTTATGCTTTCGCATACAGTAATTAAGCTATAATTACAACTTATGAAGTCAGTATACTGTGGTAACTGGAGCGAATTGGGTCCACCTCTTCCTTTCTAGCGCTCTCTCGAAGCCTACGATTATCAAATCCAATATTTTTTTTTTGGATGGGGAGATAAACAGTTACGATCTACTCAGCCAATGAAAAAAATTCCTTCAAAAAAATTCCCTAGGACATGATTGCCAATTAAAAATTGTTGTAGAGAATGGGTGAAAATCATAAATATTGGCGATGGAATATTTATGATGGAAGTTA